CTCTAGTTTTGTGTACCATGGGGCAACTTCTGTAGAAATTCCACCAGCTAATGCACTGTGCAGTGCCACCCTGACAGTGACTCCAGGACTATTTTATACTGCAGCAGTAAAACTATTTCCTGACTGCAGATTCCTTCTGCAAATTACAGCTATAATTAAATACATTTTAATAAACCCTCATAAAATTTACAATGTGGCTTTAAAATGTATGACAATGCTATTAAAAGATGGACTAGAAATTAAAAACAGTAAATCGTGCAGAAAGGCAGGTCCAAAAGAGAAATCAGAAAACTTTATCAGGTCCTATTTTTAATCTTTGTTTATAAAGATTATTTCCACCGTCAATTTACTGTACTGATTCTACACTGACCTACTTCTTATTAGTCTTGCCCTCCCACCTTCTCATATGCAATTTCCCACTGATGTTTGAGTCTTTTACTAATTAAATCAAACATGGAAAAACCAAGGGGAATTCAAACATTGGAACACAGCCCACACGCAGGAGTGGTGCTCCCGGGAGGCTTTCTTCAGGGAAGGCTCAAGAAAGATGAGAAGATCAGACTACGTTTTATGTACATACATACATATCTCAGTCTGTGGATTTGTGTGCTCTCTGAATTAGATTTTACTCCACAAACTGTGTGCTTCACATTTCAACTCCCACTTGGCTTCGAGCAGTAAGCTCAAGCCAGGAGTATGTTGAGCATGCTTCTTGCAGAAGGGAGAACCAGCCCTATGCCTTTTGTATCTGCCCCACAGAATTCAGGTTGCTCTCAGGCTTGCTGGATCATTTGGGCATGGAAAAAGGAAAAGAAACCTAAAAAAAAAAAAAAAAGCAATGCTGAAGCCAATTCATACCAAAAAGTTTTTTAAAAAGCATGGAGGGCTATCACTCATGACTCACGCATGTTCACCAATGTTATAACGAGACCTGACAAAATCCCAGTGAAAACTGTACAAAAATTAAAGCAGAGACATAAAAAAAAATAGGGGCTGGAAAAACATGTTCAAAACATTACAAGAAATATATCAGTTGTCTACTCAACAGTACAACATCACTATGTATAGGTTAAAAAAAAAGGAAGAGTAAAATAATAGGCACATATCCCATTAAACCAATGATCTTTCAACACGTGCTTTGATCTTAGTAGGAAAGAGATAAAAATGAGTTCTCCTGACCACATGACAGCAGATTTTGTTAATTTTTCCTTCAGTGAGTCAGAAGACCTTAGCCAAGATTAACTTGCAAAAGCAATACTAAGTAAGGCCTTAGAGAAAAAAAAAAAAACAACCACAACTATAAAGCAGTAAAAATTGTTCTTGTCTTTGTAACTACTGCTTTGAGCAATTCAGGATGGATGCAGAAAGACAGCTATGCCATCTCAATGCAGAGTGTAATTCTGAAGACATTCTACCACTAGAGAACTCTAATTCAAATCTGAATTATGAGAAAGGCTAGACAGTTACTTTACAACTGAAAACCATAGAAAAACGTGCGCATGGAAAGTTAAAAACATACCCAAAATATTGGCATCTGTATTGACAACATCCAAACGTAAAGATAAATATGCTGCTATTCCTGTTTTCTATTTGTTGAGAGCAGCTGGCTCCTCACAAGCATTTGCAAAGACTAAACTAGATCTGCTCTGTACAATTCCAGGATGCAAGACATTAGGCCACAAGTAACACAAACAAAATTCTGAAAACAAAGAAGCCTCTAACTTGATTAAGAGAGAAGACAACATCCATTTTCCAGAAGGGAGCCAACTGAATGTGTGTATTATTCTGAGATGCCAGCTTTTACTGCTATGTAAATATGCAATTAAAAAAAACTGTATCAAGTCCTTAACACAGTACTTTTTCCATTACTAAAATTGGAATGCTCTCAAGCCAGCTAATAACAATCAACATATTCTGCATTTCAAGGTTAATGAAACAGTTCTATTCTTATAGCAAACATGAGCACACCAACTTGCTGCCAAACATTTCTGGGACTAGTGCTCAGAAGCAGAGGCCAAATCTTTAACACCGCCCAGCATGAGATGAAGGACAAAGAACTATCTACTAAGAAACAAATCTAAGTGAACACAAACTTTGCCTATCACAATTAACACTTGCTGAGGCCTAACACCTGTTATTTTCAGTCAGTACTGTCCCTCCAGAAACCTACTTAGTGCTCATGTAAGGAGAAAAATTATTTAAAAGACTATGCCAACACAATCCTAGTAACAAGTATAATAATAATAAACAAACCTGCAACAGACCTTCAACCATAAATAGTACGGTATAAGAAAGGAGCTGCAAGAAAACAAAACAAAAACGCCTCCTCCATATCTCCTGGATTGTTTGTAATTTCGGGTGGGGGTAAGGCTTCAGGGGGGAAGCTGGAGAACATCTCTTAGAGAATGATGAATAATAGCAAGGGGATCATGAAGCTGGCCACAATGTTCCCTCATCCTATTTTATCCCGTTACACCAGGCCAGGCTCACTTATTCTCCTTCTCAGTCATTTGTAACAGTCCATATTCTCCAAAGCAGCAACGCTACCTGCTAAGTACACGTATAAAAACAGTGGCCAGTCTTCGTGAATGAAGAACCGGGGAAGGTCTTTCCACCTTCCAGCCTGCGCACTGGATTTTTTTTCTTAGGTGAGACACAGTGTGCGCGGAACTGAGCCCACCCTTTAATCCTGAGGTTCATCTGCCGGGGCCAAGCGAGCTTGGACGGTGGCAGCGAGGTCCTCAGGATGTAGATGGATTGCCTTACAGGGCTAATGAGCTCCATCTGCCCGGGGAGTGGCCCTGACCGGGAACCGAACCCGGGCCTTGGCGGTGACAGCGCCGCGTCCTTAACCACTAGACCACCTGCTTTATGTATACATGCACACTGTTGAATACCACAGTTAAGATTCACTTTTTTTCAAGTCCTACATGTTTGGAGGTTGTCTATACCAATCTCTTTACACAACAATGCAAAAATAGCAAATGCTTAATTGAAGCCCAACGTAATCTGAAACTATAAACGCTGCCTATAATTAAGACCTGTATAAAGTTTTATTAATTCTTAATTCTTTTCTGTAAATGCACAATCAAACCATTACTATCCGTTTACATCTCTTCTTGCAGGTTTTCTTTTTACAGAAGAAATGATGTACACACGTGATGTTCGGATCACAGAGGAACCAAGAATTATCATGAATTTAGTATTTGTTGGTTAGAGTATAAAATGTGATAAATGCTCTTGAGGAAAGTGTTCTTGAAGGTTGTAATCAGCTGCTTTTAAAACTGAAGCTTGTTCTCTATAAAGCATACTTGATGGGAACTTGAATAGCATTTAATGAAAATCACTAATGCTTTCAGTTGATGCATGGCTGAGTTCGCCCAAGGAAGTTGTGTAAGTTCCTTAATATATACCCCAACCAGGGCTCAGCACTTTAAGCTACAATCCTTTATTTATTAGAATAAACCAGAGTGATCTACATGACTCCATCACCAGAGTATCGCTAGCAATCAAACCTGATAAAAGGATGTCTTCTTTTTTGTAGCCATCTTTGTGAAAATGCTCTGTTTGTGTCTTCTTGGAAAACAAACCCTGACAGACAGCACTTCTACTGTACAATACTAATACCGGAAGCCCACTCTTAGAGGCAAACCACAATCAGAAAAGTCTGTGATTTTCCAACACTCTTCGTATGACATTTTCAGATACACAGAAATTTGATAAATTGATACAATTCTAACAGGTCACTATAGAGTTAAAAAAAATTCAGGTATTAGAAAATATTTTTATTTTTCAATTAAGCTTCAGAGTTATCAGTGTAATTAAAAAGAAGTCTGCCTATTTTTACTCAGAACTACATCTTTTGAAACATCTGAAAACAACCCTAAAATCAACTGCAGCCTTGCAATGTTGCATGAAGTTATTTATTAGTATATTAAGTATATGCATCAGACTCACAATCAGTTAACAATAACTGAAGCATAACCAAGAGATAGACACCTATGCAACAGCGGAAGAATGCATTAAAAAACAAAAACATGAGCATGCCACTACTACACATGGCCCTTCTCCACTAGGGTGGGTGGTCGACAGAATAAATAAAATTTTCTGACAGATATTCTTACTCCAGTTTAAACAGCTGACTGGAATGTAACAATATGATTACGTGAAGTCGATAAAAGGCAAAATTTCCTTGCCCTCGATACGCCAGTAGGGTAACAACGGAGATGCCCCCGAGCGCTGCCTCCCGGGCGCGGTGACACGAACCGCGGTGACGGCACCCCGGGCCGCTGAAGGTCACACCGGGCACCGCCGGCGGGCACCGCGGCCCCCGCAGCCCGGCCGCCCACACCGCCCGCACGGAGCAAACGCTGCACTGCGTTACAGTACAGCATCACCACCGCCAAAACAGTTCTGTCAGCTGCCAACACAGAAAGGCACCGGAATTCCTTGTCCGCCCGGGACGGTGGGGCCGGCCCCGGACACCGCCTCACGCTCGGGCAGCGCGCCCCGACCGCAAGCAGCCGCAGGGAAGCCGCCGCATGCCCGCCCCACCTCGCAGCCCGAGGGCGCCGCGACTCGCCGGGGAGCGGCCTCGGGGCAGAGCAGGGAGGGCTGACCTGCAGGGGTCACGGCGCGGGGCACGGGGCGCGCCGCCCGCTCTCAGCCGGCACAGCCGCGCCGCGCCGGGCCGGGCCGAGCGCTCACTCACCGCCCGCGCTGCGCTCCCTCCGGCAGCTCCTTCCCGCTGCAGCCCCGCGTGCCACCGAGCGCCGGCTGAGGAAGGGCCCCGATGGCTTCCGCTCGGCTCCCGCCCAGAACTACAGCCCCCGGCGGGCCGCCGCCAGTGACGAGCCCACAGCGCGCCGGGCCGCGTGGTGCGGGCGGCCCCCGCCCCTGGGCTCCGGGGGCCGGGAGCGGGGCGGGGCTCGGGGCGGGCGGTGCGGCCGTCGCGCCAGCCCCCGGCCCTGACCTCAGGCGGCGGTAGATCAGGCGCTGCCGCCCTGCGAGGCTCCTGCCGCGACCTCAGCCCCGCTGCGAGGGGAGCCGGGCGGGCCGGGGAGAGAGAGCGGCGCACAGCGGGCTCGGGAGGCGGCTGTGGGGCCGCCGCGCTGGCGGGAGCGCAGCCCTGTCCCGGCCGCCGCGGGAGGCCGGAGGGAGGCGGGGGCCCCGCGAGGAAGGCAAGGTACGAGCTTAGCGGAGCGAGTGAGGAGCTGCGGGGGAGCCTGCGGGGCGTCCTTCCGCGCGTCCCGGTGCTTTGTCACGGACGGATCATTTCACACGACCGGGAGCTGCCTCAGCCGCTCCAAACGCTGCAGTCCGAGCTGCGGCTCAGCGCCAGCAGAGCCCGGGAACGCGAGTTCGCGGTACCGGGTCTTCGAGTTCCGAAGCCTCTGCACTCCCCCAGCTCACGGGCACGGATTTCTGTGCTGCTTCATGCCCTGCACTGCTGGCTGCATTTGAAGCTTTGTCCAGGCTGAGATGAATGTGTCATTTTACCTGTGCAACGTTGTCACTCTCTGCAGTAAAAAAGAAAAAAAAAAAAAAAGTCTGCGATACAGAAAGAAAAATGTGGAGACAGGGAAAAGGTTTATGTGGAGACATGATCCAAAACCGTATTGAAAAATGGAAGCAATGTGAAACTACGTAAGAAAAAATTAAAATTCTTGAAATTGTAATGTTATTTGAATAAATGTGCATCATGGACGACTCTGTTGGCTGGCTATACGCCTCTGAACTAAGTCTACAATAATTTGACTTTAGTATATCATAGTTATTAACACTTGATTCTTCAGCTTAGCGTTTGTGGTTTCATGTTGCAAGCAGCAGAGGCAAGAGGCATCTCCTTTCCAGGTAGGAGGAAGATGCTGTGGCCATTACAGTGCTGGCCGGTAATCCTGAAGCAACTGCATTCTTTTCTTTTTCACTCTGCTACAGACTTCCTCAGTGAAGTTGGGCAAGTTAAACCCGATCCTCTGAAGGTACCCAGTACCTAATAAGGATCTCCTTTCATCTCCCTTTGGAATATTTAGTAAGGAATTACAGTATTTCTTCAAGCAAATTTTTGGGACAAAAGTATTAAGGATTATGAGTGGCTTGGATATTTGGCACTGAATAGAGTGATGGGGGTTTGTCAGTTTTTCAAGAGTGTTGCCTTGATTAAGTAGCATACATAATTTCAATGCAGGCTATACCCAAGCTTAGCTCCTTAATAAATTGAATTATCAGTTTCTGATATAGTACTTCACCTTTTTAAAGTTAACTGCCATGCAAAAATTGCATGTTAACATGGAACTACGTCCTACAGCTGACTTTTTATCAGCCACAAAGTAGGATTCCTACTGGGGGCCGGAAAGGTGCCTGTCAGAAAAGGACCTGGGGGTGCTGTTTGACAGCTGGCTGAATATAAGCCAGCAGTGTGCCCAGATGGCCAAGGCCAATGGTATCCTGGCTTGTGTCAGCAATATCAGTCCGGGAGCAAGACCAGGGAAGGGACTGTCCCTCTGCACTTGGCACCGGTCAGGCGAGGCCGCATCTCAAGTACTGTGTTCAGTTTTGAGCCCCTAACAAGAAGAAAGACATTGAGGCACTGGAGGGTGCCTCAGAGAAGGGCAACAGAGCTGGTGAAGGGTCTGGAGCACAAGTATTATAAGGAGTAGCTGAAGGAGTTGGATTTGTTTAGCCTGGAGAAGAGGAAGCTTGGGGAGGGCCTTCTCACTCTATAAAACTACCTGGAAGGAGGTTATAGCAAGGTGGGAGTTGGCCTCTTCCCCCAGTTAACAAGTGATAGGATGGCAGTAAATAGCCTCAAGTTGCACCAAGGGAGGTTTAGATTGGATCTTAGGAAAGTTTTCTTCACCACAAGGATTGTCAAGCATTGGAACAGGCTCTCCAGGGAAGTGGTAGAATCATCGTCCCTGGTAGCGTTAAAAAACATGTAGATGTGGTGCTTGGGGCCATGGTTTAGTGGTGGGCCTGGCATTGTTGGGTTAATGACTGGACTCCGTTATCTTTGAGGTCTTTTCAAACTTCAGTGATTTTACTGTTGAAGACTTGCTTATAGCTAAAGTAAATTAGCTTAGATACACTTCTTAGACATCTCTCTCACTGCCTAAGCTTTCAAAGATAGACATAATTTCAGACATAAAATAAATCAGCTGGAGGACTTTTAGAGCGGCTACTGGAATCTGTGAGGGAGTTTGCCTAAGTAAAGTGAAAACTATTGGAGTTGCTTCCCCTCCTTTTTTTTTTTAAACTGAAATTCCTTACAGTAGTATTTCCTCTCTCACTTGTGAAATGTGAAGTGCAATTGCTTCTGCCTTGCTTTTTTTGTGAGCTAGTTCAGCTGCACACAGCTGAGATCTGACTAGCACAGCTGTGCGTCTTTAAAATAAGACCGGTTGCTTTTCCTACAAACTGCCAGGGATTAATGAACCCATTCTTTTTTACTTTCTGCACTTGTTCAGTTAACTTGCAATTAAATTGCTTGTTCAGAAGTGACAATAAAATTTCTAAACCCATAAATTAAAAGGGAAACCTTGAGTTGACATGTGTAGTCATCAGTGGGGAGTTTGAAATTGCTATGCTGCTTGAAGGCACATTAGAAGCAGGTTTGCCAAGAGCTGGAGTTCTGGGGGTTTCTGTGGGTGTTAAGTGACAGGAATGCCTCACGGCTGTAATTAAGGAGATTTATGTTTGTCACTGGTTTATGTATTATCTTACATTGCTACCTAATTTTTTTTTAGGCTAAATGGATGTATATGACTTTTCCCCTGATCTTAAAGCGGTTCCATGTCTTGTTTGGTAAGTTCGTCATAAAAAATTTTGGCTGTTGTACCTTGTTACCCAATTATAGCTTACTATGAAAAGTTCTGGTGAAATGTCTTGGTTGAGGGGATTTCCACAGTGCTGAGATGTTTAAACTTTGTATCAACTTTCAGTGAAGGACACTGTTTAGTATCTCCTCTTCTGCCATGTATGTGCTTTATGCTGTCTCTAAACCTCTTGCTTGACTGACTCATAGCAGAAGACTTTCTGAACTCCTTCTTATAGAGGCTACTTTTTTGTTTTCCCACTTTTTAACCATGTTTAATAAAGTGCAGCAACTTCACAAACATTCACTTGTTTCTGTTCCCAAGGACTGTTCCTGTATTCTACGTACGCCAGTTGAATCAATCAGACCGGAAGAGCTATCTCAGAGCAGCATCCACGAATGCCTGGTAAGAAGAAATTTCAACTGCCAAGGTTAAATACAGAGCTGGTACATATTAAAAATAACCTCATTAGGGAGTATTTCTTAAACTGTTAACAGCAAAAATGACCAAAGTACTGCGGGGCTTCCACTTTGGAAGAAGACCATAGGAAACTTAGTGCTAATCTTGTGCCAGTTTAAAAACAAACATGGACACAAAAATCTGTAACTAAGTCTCAGTAATATGGTAAAAGCATCAACTTGAATGTTCTGATTTGAGTACTAATGGTATTTCTGCATTAATTTTAAACATAAATGATTAAAAATTGCATAGTCATTTTGAGAACTGTTTTTTCTCACTGTTAGGCTGATTCTGATGTAGCCTGGATTCCCCCATCTACAGGAAGGAATGAAATGGTATTTTGCTCTTCTAATGTCTCTCATTATGAACTCCAGCTGGAAATAGGTAATATAAGTGTACCTTAAAATGTTTCTTCTTCCTTCTAGCAATAGTTTATTGCTCACTACAGTAAACATTAAATTTGGAAAATACAGGACTATTCTTTTGTCTCCTTAGTTGAGAAAAGTGCCCAGAGCATTGCTCATGTTTCAGTAATCACTTATTTCAAGATATAAGACAAATCAACAATTTACCTGAAATTTTCTCTTGATGTTTGTGTATGTGCATGTCAGTTTTGTAAATCTGTGGTATGTGACAATAATACAGCATTAAGTTCATCGTGTCTTGTGACTTGGCTACCCAAGGTGATTGTTCTAAGGAAAACTGCCTTGAATCCTACTGTGCATGCACATGTTTCTGTGAATATGCATGTGTTGGTCATTTAGATGTATAAGCGATACTGACAAACATTTAAACACTTTTAGTTGTTCTCAAAATAGCAGAGCCATGCTTCAGTTGGCTGCAACTAATTTTGCAACTACTGAAGTTCTTGACATACTTGAAAAAAAGTCATGTTGCTATCAATTGTATTTTTAGAACTGGAAAATTATCTCTATGAAGGAAATGATGTGATGGATCATTATATTTTCCAATGTTAAGGTAGCCACTTCTGGTTTCAGGAAGGAGGTTCAACAATTTAACTTCAGTCTACCTTGCACGGCATACACCTACAGACATGCAAGTTGCTGTAAGGATCACAGACCTAGAAAATTGCTCTGAAGAGCATTTGAAAGCCTTACAGGTAAAGCAACAGCATTTCTGCACAAGCCTGATGGAGACAGTGATGAATACATATGAGGTTACTGAACAGAGGTAGCCTTTGTTTGTACTGAGTCATTTCAGTCAAGATTTTCCTCCAAAGGGGTAGCATATAATAAACACAAGGCATATGTAAATTTGAGAGTGTTTTCTGAAGAAAACAGTTGACAAGTGTTTTAGAAATACTTCTGTAATTGTATAGCATCTTATTTGAAACATGCTCTGTACTCTGTAGTTAACACCAAAAATCTGGACTATGAACAAACTACATTTACTTCAGATAAATGCAATTATGGGCAAGTTACTCACATTTCTGTTGCAGGCTATGCACATCACCCACAGTCCTGTATAAACGCACACAGGAAACTGTTCTTTCTACTGATGTAGTTAATGCTCTTCATAAGACTGCTGTCTTGTGGTTAACACATCCACTTTCATTTAATTCCATAGAATGAGGTGGTTTTATCCCACTTTTTCCAGCATCCCAACATAATGACGTTTTGGACAGTGTTTACAGCTGGTAGCTGGCTTTGGGTCATCTCCCCATTCATGGCCTATGGTAAGAACTGTTAACTGCAATTCTGCAATAGGAAAAAGGGCTGGTACAAATTGGACCACATGGTCCAGGAGAGATTTTTCTTTAAGAATCTCCTGTCTTGTAGAAAAAACACTTTCCCAAACCACTTGTTTAGAGAAGACTGCTGTACATAATCTTTCTCCCCAGCGAAGACTGGTGTTGAAACTGCATTAAATTCCACTTAGTCCTAGCACCCACCATACGAGGAATGGTAACTGGGAGATGTATTTGACCTTATACAACTGATTTTTGACAACAGAAAACCTATCTAGATTGAATACAGGTTGGGCATAGACTTTCAGTTAACTGAAGCACGATGTGAGTGTGATCTTTGCCTGACGGAACTGGATCAGTTCCATCCATGCAATAACTGTTCTTGGTGTACCATAGTCAATATAAAGATGAGAATGCCGCTCTTGATGAATGTATGTACTGAAGCAAGCATAGACAAGTAATTTAATAAGACTTGTTAGGCTTAGCTAGTTTTTTTTTCACTTTCAGGTTCAGCTGGACACCTGCTGAAGACTTACTTTCCTGAAGGAATGAGTGAAGCTTTGATAGGGAACATTCTGTTTGGTGCAATCAGAGGATTAAATTACATGCACCAGAATGGATATATTCACAGGTAGGAGAATGATAATAGGTAAGAATCAGATTACAGCATCTCAGCTTAAGGATTGTCTCCTTCCTTTTTCTATACACCTTCTTGTGTCAGACGTATTTTTTTTTCAATACAGCAAAACCAAGTTTGTAAAAGCTTAAGAGGAGCTGTATTCATACATTATTTCAAGCCAGTTGTTATAGGGATAATACATCTGCCTGGCTTTGTCTCTTTGAAGCAGAACAGAACCAGGGTTGTAGAATGGGCTTCCTTAGTTTATACCCTTTGCAGGCCCTTCTCCAGTTTCTGGTGCTTTTTTTTCTGATCATCTCTCCTCTCTCTTGGGACTGTATTAGAAAGACAACTCATACTGAATGAAGGACTTCCGTGAAAGTAATCTGCTAAATAGAACTGCATGGTAACATCTCACTGTAAGTTAATGAAATATGAAAGCCTTTGTACTCTAATAGTGCTTTGAGTAATTCTTATTTATGTTACAGGAATATTAAAGCTAGCCACATTCTGATTTCAAAGGATGGGCTGGTTTCTCTCTCTGGTCTAAACAACCTCTACAGTTTAGTTAAGAATGGGCAAAAGTCAAAGGTGGTGTATGATTTCCCCCAGTTTAGTACATCCGTGCTTCCTTGGCTGAGTCCTGAACTACTGAGACAGGTTGGTGTAACACTTAATTTTTCCTCTTCAACATTAGTGGCAGTACTCAGCTTCTAACTTAAGTCTGCATGTAGAAGTGCAGTGGAAGATGTTGATCTGAAAGTTTTAAAACTACAGTATGTACTGAATTTTTAATTCTCCTAAAGAGAACCAGTTTTAAAGCTGTGGGTAAGGTGATGCTGTACTAAGTCTCTTTACCTGACCTTCCTGGAAACTACAACCATCAGATTCCTAACAAAGCCTGAGATTTCCCAATTTGATTGCTTCAATGTAGATTACAGGGTATTAGAATCTTGTCTTGAAACAGACACCTGTATTTTTGTTGGCCCCACTCAGTGGCATCAGTGATCAGGAGTGTTTTCTTTCTGTCCCAGGATTTGTCTGGGTATAACATGAAGTCTGACATTTACAGTGTGGGAATTACAGCCTGTGAATTAGCCAATGGACATGTTCCATTTCAGGATATGCCTCGCACTCAGGTATGATGCTAAACTCTTATTTCTACTTCAAAACATGCTGAGCACTTTTTTTGGTTTTACTGAGAGAAACCAATGCCATTACTGTTGAAGCAGTGGCTGCTTTTTTTTTTTACTTCAAATATGCATGCTTCTTTCTAGAACAAATAATCCTTCATTCCTAGAGTTTCACAGCTTAGCCTGAATAGCCCTTGTTGAACTCTCATACTGCTATTCCTTCCTACTAGATGCTGCTGCAAAAGCTGAAAGGTCCCACATACTATCCTTGGGATATAAATACCTTTCCCCGGGGGGAATCCAGGATGAAGAATTCCCGATCGGGGGTTGACTCTGGAATTGGTGAGAGCATGACACGCACAATGACCAGTGAAAGACTACAAATTCCCTTTTCCAAAACATTTTCACCTGCTTTCCACAACTTGGTAGAACTTTGCTTGCAACAGGACCCTGAGAAAAGGTAATCTTCTGGTGAACACTAATTTTTTGTCACTTCAATCTAAGACCAAGGATAGCCCACAGTTTAGGATACGGTATTTGCTTGAATGCTGTTCAAGTCAGAATTTCAGACCAGACGTACTGTGTAAAGCAATTCACTTAAGTTTGGTTTTGTAATTTAAGAATTATCTTGTCTGATAAAGGAACCATGCTTTAAAGTCATTTGACCCCTGAATTTCTTGCAATATGAACATGCTTTGTAAAAGGTAAAATTTATTTTCAAACACGCACTTTGTCTAAGAAAAAAAGCAGAAATCTGAAATATCCATTTTCAATCCTATGTCTCTTTTGAATGGGGCATTAAATTCCTTGTTAAACATTAATGTGAAAAAGCCTTTAAAAATAGATTTCTTCAGTAGTGCTTTCACGACAAATTGAGACATAGTATGTAGGATTTGTGGGCTTCCTTTCTCATTCTTCACATTTGCCCCGTGGATGAAAAACCACAGGGCTTAAATTGGCTTGTCAGTCTGGCCCATTTCCCAAAAGCAGTATTTTACTTTCCAAAACTTAATTATATTGTTCATTTTATGATTCAGGCCTTCAGCAAGCAGTTTGCTTTCGCATACGTTCTTCAAACAGGTGAGTTTACTACATTTTGTAAAATGACACAGCTATAACCTAAATAAGCCTCAGAAAGAGTTGGATTACAAAATATTTAAGTTAACTGGACCCCAAAGAATCCTGTAACAGCATACCTGTTTCAGACTTCTTTTTTTTTAACGAAATGGTATTGATAGAGTATAGGAGACATTTCCCCTTTGATAAAGTTGGTTTAAATAAAGTCAGCCTAACTAATAAGAATAATGGTTAATATTCTTAATTTAAATCAGAACTGCAAAGCTAATTTGTCTTGAAAGACTAATTCAACTTAGTCTAGAGTGAGGAAAGTGAAACCTTGCATCCTGTTACGTTCAGTGTTGTAACATGCAAAAACCTGGCTCTGATTTCACATGCTTCTGATGAAGTCACTTGCAAGGTTATGGAGACTTTTATGTGCAGCCCTGTTTTAACTTTTTTTCTTTCTAGATAAGAGAACAAACACAGAATTCACTACTGTCTCTATTGCCACCTCCTATTCAAAATAACAGATCAGAGTTCTTGACACTGCCCTCAACAGCAGTTGGGACTGGACTTGGACATATTACTGCAAATCAAGATGATACAGACTGGGAATTCTAAATAAATACCAAACAATCATACCTCTCCTGTGCTTCAGTGAAGGAAAATGTGATTTGTATTTGCTGCTTTAGTTTGTATGGTTAAAACAGAAAAGGTATACTTGAACATGCCCTGAAGTGGCCAAATATCATGAGCTCCCTCCGTGGGCATCACGAAGTGCGGCGTTCCTCACTCTCTGGCCGTAAGGAAAACTGTTTATACAGAGAATGGCTGAATGCTTTCAAACCTCTCTCTTTCAAAATATTTCTCAACAAGAGAGTTCCTGCTGTAATCTTACTCTGTACTGTATTTTCAGCTCATATTGCTGCAGTCCACTTGCCTTTCTGAATCCAGGCTTGGGTACTGTCTGTGAGCTTACTTAAACCATCTATTTGTTTTTCCATTGTGACTCAAATCATTTTAGCGAGGAGAAATTCTCCACTTCCAAGCTGAAATTTGAGACTGCACAAATTAGTTGATTATGTGAATAAATGTTTGTCTCCTAAAAGACATTTTTTCTCACTTGACATGCTGTCATATTTGCCAGAAGTTAGCTATGCATCGTTTTTCATGCAGTTTTAATACTGCATGTTTCCCAAAGAAGTTAAGCTGCTTGGAAGTGTGACTCATGTTCTTGCATTTGTCTATATTCTTAGTACAAATCTGTGCTTTTGCATCTCCATTTATTGTTTTGTCATTTTAGCAGTTAATCTGAGGACTTCTTACTATGCAAAGTAAGTCTCAAGTTATAGCAGGTACGGGTTAATTTTGAAGAATCAAATAATCTAACGTTACTGTACATATTTTTATTTATACCGTATTCCTGTTCACCACCAGAATTTACCAGAACTTAATACTGATGTCTTAGAAGAACAGGCAACATTCATTAAGCCTCACTGGCACTGCTGCTGGCAAACAAGAATCTTCTGCAAGGCACAGTTAAATTCCCTTGGACAGATTCAGCCATAATAAGCACCTAATATCCCCAAGGATCCTAATGATTTATCTGTTCTAAGTCAGATGAAAAGCTGTCTTTTTTTTCCCTACAATTCAGTAACTTCTCATCTCTCACACTGTACCAGGCAACTCAAACTGAACAAAAGCTGCATGTTCTCATCATGTTGTAGCAAAAGTTGTGTCCCGAAGCCACTGGTATTTTACTGATGGAAGTTATGACTGTAGTAAAAAAGCATAAATAGATATCGAATGGATATATTTTAAATTTTCAACATAAACAACATTCCACATTAAGTCTCCAAGCCTTCCATAGCTGAGTTGGTCTGTACCACTGCTTTGCCACCAGCTTTGCCTCAAGGCCTTGAAGGCCAAATGGCCGATATGCAAATGTGAGAGACATAACATTCTAACTGACTACGTAAAAGTAATAACAAACATAAAAGTAATAACAAATAACTTGAGTCTACTCATTATGCTGTGAAGAGAGCTCTATATTTCTAAAACTAACACATGAAATTTAAGATTAAAAACCTGTCAACAAACTTACCTTATCTGCCTCCATTTATTTCTGTAATTCTTCTACTTCCATTTTCACCATAGTCCAGTCATACAAATAGCCTCTCGTTACTGCAGGAAAGAAATTTCATATTTATTTCAATCATTAGGTAAAATAATGTTTGCCTGAACTAGAAAATTACTCTGATAATAAAAATATTAATAACTGAATTGTGTACTCTTGGAGAGAAGATACTATTTTCATGTAAACACTATGTTCTTAATTCTTAAGCATGACGAATTTGGACTGTTTGCAAGTCAAATACATTAGATAGCATCTACAAGTAAATTTTGACTAACAGTACATAAAAAACCAAGTGAAATAAGTGAGAACACTCATGAAATTGGACATATGTTAATTACAGATCCCTGAATAAATATTAATACTCTTGAAAAAAACAAACCTGTAAAAGACTTCAGGCAGCTTAACTGGCTAGTATTTGTAAGCTTCTCTGAAACAACAGTGCTCCCAACTCTATAAAAATGAACTTGGGTTCTAATAATGTCAGTACAAAGTGATTTAAACAATCATGTGTTCCAGTGGAGTTACTTTGCTGCTGTCTTTTTCTATGAAAAAAAATGAAAAACTTATTTCTGAATGCTGTTCCAATTCTGTAATGACATAACTTTTTAAGAAAAAAATAAAAAACATTTTTTTAAGTTAAAAAGCTCACAAGGACTTACTCTTAGAACTACAGCTTGTCAACAACTACAGTATTTTCAAACAAAAGCAATTAAAAGGCACTGTGACTTCTAGTAGCTCTTAAAATAACCAGAAATACTACATATTAGTCCATGGGTTGTATTTGTTGAAAGGTTTGATATGATTTTTCTTGTTAACTGTGATACTTTCTGTTAAGGAATAATGCAAAATAAATATTAGCATTAAAAAATATGTATAATCATATTGTTAAGAAGGTTTCAACTACCTGCCACTGAAAAGATGATCTTGGAAACAGTTCTACTGAAAAACCTGAAGGTTTTGCTTACGGTGTTTTCAAAATCTGAGATTCATGATTTGTATTGTTAAGAGCCCAGCTGCAGAGACTTTCTATTCCAAGCTCACATAGTTTTAAGCCCGATTTATTTATTTATTTATTAGAACTCTTGTTTACTCTCACACCAATGATGTGTAATGAGCATATGAACTAGAACTATACCTGGACTTGAAATTTTCAAGTATCTTACATTTAGACTCAATGTGACATATTTTCAAAGGGGTTTATAAAACTAACACAGTTGCAAAATCTCTTGAGCAATGAAACAGAAGTTTATAGTCCTTTGAAATACTTGTGAAAACAACACAAGTGGGTTTTTTCGCTGCCACCTTTCTTTATGCTAGCATTTAACACTATGTAAAATATTGAAATACCTGTAATAAGAGAAAACTTAATTAACAATGTCATGAATATACACTCAGTGGTGTTGAGTGGCTGTCTTGGTCTGATACCACAGCAGTTTGTGAATTTATGACTGAATGGATTAACATAGGAAAAAAATGTGACTTATTCCAAATCAACCTGATCTTCTACACAACTTACTCACTTTAAAAAGTCTCAATGCAATAAATACCAATTGGAGAGAGAGCTGTTTCTTCCACTTGATGAACAGAAGTAAATATATTTTTTAAATTACTGAGTTTTACCTTACCTCTCTCTCTTTTCCCTACCCCCCTCTTTTCTTCATATGCTACCAAAGCCGTTTTTAACCTAAAGGATGGGTAAAATCATGGGAAAGCATTTTCAAACCATTGTTCTGAATGTCTCTGACATGAGGCAGACACCTAAACATACCCTGCCTTTTATGCTAGTAAGTAGCTTTACTAAAGTATATTAGGCTGTCTAATAAACCTCTAAAGCAATTAAGCTGACTGTAATGACCTGTCCTGACTATGGCCATCCCTATCCTGTATGAATGAGGAAAATCTACTAAAATGCAGAAATAGTACACATCGAGCTAGAAAGACCTCAAAGGACTATGAGTAAGAACCCAATTTGATGTAACAGACAAGCGAAGACTTAAAGATTCAAAAAGAAAGCACTGAAAAATTGAGGTGGTCTACTAAAAACCTGCTAGCAGGATAACATTTGGTATTTAACATAATTAAACCTATCCAGAAACTTGAGACAGGATGAAGAATATTAGGTTTAAACAGGTTCCTGTAGAAATCTCCATCATTCCCAAATGGAAACAACTAATTCTACTCTATAAATCCTATGTTTCTTACCCAAAAGTCCCATGAAGTTCCTGAAAAATGGAGTGGTGGTTTTATTTTTATATATGATTACAGAATACACCATTACTACTGGATTTACCTGCAAATCCAGACTAATGGAATTAATTTGCCCTTTCATGAAACCCATCTGCAACAGAGGAGAATGGATCACTGGCAGAATGTATATGCTTTCCTGTTTTGTCAAAATTTATATAACATATGGGTCAAGAGTGTCAATGCTGAGTTTATCTTCTACAGTTTATTTTATTCTACGTTCTGATATCAATTATCTTTCTAGTTCCCATGTTTTACTCTACACAGTACAGGAAAACTACAGGGAGTTGTCTGAGGGAGGGAGGACTCTGCAACTTTCGAAGTCTGAAGAAAAGATCACATAAAGTCCGGAATTATTAAAGCAAGCAGTTTTGCTCGCGGGTAAGAACACGGGGAATTCTGTGTTTGTGGCGGGTTTCCCCTCAGGGCCGCAGTCCCTGCAGGGGGTCGGTCCCCTCAGGCCGGGTCCGGCACGGCGGCCCCGCCCCGGCGGCGCGAGGGGAGGGCGGGAACGCGTCTGAGGGCTGAGGCGGAGCGGGGGCACCGGCAGCACGGAACATTAACAGCACCCGGGGAAAATAAAGACTTTCCGCAACTGTCTGTGGACTTAGGACCAATTTAATGCACTGCCGCACTGAGGAATGCAAGAGCACATTTTACACTGCTATGAGGAAGAAGTAAGAGGCAAGTAAGGCTTAGGCTTAGCTGTAGTCACGTACCTGATGGTTTTCTCTCATCTCCCAAAGCCTTCAGGCATTTAAGTTAATTCTGCTGCAAATAAGCAAGCGAATAATTCTGACCTAACCATAACCCCCTTAAGTTTACCTCAGCAATACCAAAATTACTTTAAAAACGCACTTTGCAAATCAACGCCACCTGGCTGCGCATCGAGAAATCTGCGTTGAGAGAGTAACATTTAAACCACGTGGAAATTAACCAAATTTTAAGTAACTGTCTTTTAAGAAGCAAAATTAGAACAATTTCGCTTTGGAGGGCCCCTAGAAGCCCTCTGGTGAGGCTGCACAGGGCTTTGTCCACCCCAGCCTGGGGCAGCCCCAGGGATGGAGTTCCCACAGCCCCTCTGCCCCCATCCCAAGCCCTCAGCCAAAACTCCTGAACATTTTCCTGATGCTGCCTGTGACCGCTTCCACCCATCCTTTCACTGTGCAGCTGTCTTCTTTGTAATCACCTAGTAAGTAGTTAAAGACAGCAATCAAGATTCTCCATTTAATATTACTCTTTTTACGCTAAACACACAGTAGTAGCTGATTAAATACACTTTACCTGCTACTTTTCAAGAGTTTAGGGTACCATTTCTGATTGTGTAAGATTGTTACAGCAGCAGGAATCTGATGGGAGGGAAAGCAAAACTGTTTTTTACAACACTGCCATAAATAAGGGGAAAAAAGTTTTCCCATAAACACCTGTTCAGACCTTGCATTTATACAAAATATTAGCACTGGGGAAAAATTAGACTGATTTATTTTAACCAGACTAAACAACTTGAAACAGGACAAAGTACAATCATTTTTAACTAGTTTAGAGCAATTGTTTAATTGCTTCATATGTGTAAAAACAAGAAATTGGCACCAACATATCCATAATATTTTCATTAACACAAATGCATTAAAAACAATGGTATGGAAATGCACAAAGGCATTTCAGTTAAGGCTTCTACAGATATTGCATGTTCTACAATTAAACATCTATTTCATAAATTCATTCTGAAACTTTCCAAGAAACTAAACAAAAAGCTCAGTTAGACTCATATTCCACTGTGAGGCTTAATGGAATGAAGAATATCTTGTAAAATAGATAATTAGTCATCAAACTGTTTACTGTGCTTTTTATACAGCAACCTCAAACCTCATTAATTTAAATATGGATATATTGAGATCCTTCCAAAACGATACACTGGAAAGGCAAACCTGGATTGAAATACTGATCACATTAGGTTCATTAATTCAATCCATGCTCACCCATCTAAACAAACTACTGTATTTCACAATGACAATGAATCTGGCTCTTGGCCAGCATCACTCTGTCCAAGGGATACTTGGAAGGCCAATTCCTAACATTAATGTCAGAAATCAAGCAATGATGTTATCCAAGTTTTCCCTGTACTGGCGTGATGCCTTAGCACCCTTTTGCCTGATTTTGCCCGTATTTTATGAGCAAAATTATACTTCTTACCATACCGAGATGACAGAAGTGCCATGCAGCAAAGAGAAGCCATTATTAGTCCCATCTTCAGGTCAGTGATTCTGTAACTCAAACACACCACATCAAGAGGAAGTGGGGTGGCAACCTACATGAGAACACTGTGCCTCAAACCACATCTCCTACAGCCAAATCATTACAAGAATGTGCAGTGCTTGACTGAAGGAGAGCAGCACCTTGAATCTCTCCATCTTACTGTACAATGCAGTGCCAGCCATAATTTCGCTCTACGGTTTTGCAAATATACATACACAAGAGCCATAACAATTTACAAAAGCGTTAAGGGCTCCTTCCCATAATAAATGCCCCAGAACACAGCCAACAGCTGTGGAACATCTTTTAATTCTTGCAGAACTCTTTTCCCTCACAGCCAGGATTACAACAGCATTTAAAAGATGTCATGAACATCGAACTTTTGAATAACTTAAATTTGCTGGATGGACATAAGAGAACCCAAGTCCTCAGTAGGGCAGCAACAGCCCTAATTGTTCATGTTCCCATGTTTGTTTTGAAGCAACTCAGGTAACTGTAAATAAAGTTAGCACTGAAAGCACAAAAAGCTCTTTGACGTTTCCTTTCAAGTCTTTTATCTGGCTACTCTTAACTTCACTACTATAAAAAGTTCAGTAATTCTCCAGAGAACTTTAACAACTGCACCCCCTTTATAACCACCCGCAGACACATGTATTAAATCAAATAATGCAGAATCAGTATGTATTAAATAACACATACAAATAGTTTTTGGGCTTTAGATGACGCTTTCTTGATAAATGGTTTTCAAACTAGCCATTGTCTGTGTCTACTGAGGAGACTTTCATCCTTCCATATGCAACGCTTTCAACCTGCAATGCTTTCATTTTGCCATTTTAATATAAAAGAATGTTGGCTATCATCATCAAAACCCACCCACTGCCACTATTACTACTACATCACTGCACAGAAGATGGGTTGCTGCAGAGTTCTTGGTTTGCTTTAATAATTATTTTCTTGTAATTTTAGGAAGAAGTTTCCCATTCTATCCTAACATAAAACAAAAATTTGAGGGGAAATCAATCTCCATCAAAACAGGCAGAGGTACAAACATTTTCAACATTGGTGAAATTCAAGTTTCTTTAGCAAGAGCAGTGAATAAAACTATATGTTCTTGCCATGCAAGATAAGGAAAAATCAGAACACTATTCTTGTGAATGGCTTTGTAACAGTTACGCATCCTGAGTGCTGAGAAATTAGAGGACATGGATGTATCCTGTTGGCAACACAAACCAACCTTGGATTAGAAGATGTATTTAGGTGTTTTCATTAACTGACCAAACTGTTGCAACATTAAAGCTTCTTTTTCTTGTATCTACATCAACCTGAAAGAACTTGTTATCATCAAGATCTTTGTCAAGAGAACTAAATGAACATTACAAAAAAGTGTCCTCTTTTACGGATTATTAAACAAAATCTCTGTCAATTCAATCCTTTATTCTAGCAAATACTTTTTATGACACCTAAATGCAGACTATTTTACCAACTTGGTGGATTTTATGTTTCCTAACTCTGTTTTGTTATCATCTTCTCTTCCTTAGACTACTTTTGTCATAAGATTTGTTTTAATCTCTAGAGAATATTTAACCAAGTCAGATAAGCTAACTGCTGTCAGCATTAGTAACAAAAGCAGGTTGTTGAAGAGTGTTACAACCATCAAAAAAACACAGAACTCCTGATCCTCTGCAACCCTCTTTGGCTATGTAGGTAGCAATATTTACAAAATAAACCTTGACTTTTTGCACTAGGGATAATCTGCTTTGTAAAATAAAAAGTATAAAAGTTTTCAATCACATTTGGAAACCGTAACGTACATAAAAAGATCAACATGAAATATATAAAATACAAAAATACATTCTTTTCTTTATGAAAATTATAATACATAGCTATAATACACGACGTGTTGAGCCATCAGTCACAGCTACAATAGTTGCAGGTTCTTGTTCCACACTTATGGCTGGACTCTGGGTAGGACATCTCCCTGGGGAAATTCCTCGATTTCAGCATGAAACATCAATTCTAAATGAGAAAAAAAATAAATGTTTTCTTTGAAAACTTTCACCTGAATACAATTCCATCACTCCTGAAAAGCACCCTGGCATTCCCCCAAGCCTCCTGTTTTTTGTTTCCGTCATATCAGTAACGACTCAGCATGGCAGACAGGCAGTGAAGAGGCTGGCAGTGAAGAGCTCCTGGTGGAGAACCTGGCTGGGCACACCAAGCAGCTGATGAGGCAGCCCTGGTGGAGCTCTGTGCTGCTGAGGGTCGAGTTTTCTCACCCCTGGCTTCTCTTACGTCTCTGTACTGCACAGGTGTGCTTTGTCTTGCTACCTGCATGTTCTTTGTACAGATCAGGCTGTGTTTGCCAACACCTTGTCAACATGGTAAAGTTACACAGTCTATACGTGCAACAGTGTGGTTTATCTCCTCAAGTTTGAGATTCACGCATTTTTGCTACCCCATCCTTAGCAGACTAAACTTTCTCTACGATTTGGGATAAGTCCTAATGGATTTCTCTCTAGAAATTTCTGAAGCAGTTTTCCAATCTTACTAGGCACATGTAAACATCAGAAAAGTTCATCAAAACTTGAGTAAAATTCTGCCACTGCATTTCTTGAATAAGTATTATTTAAAAAAATAGGTTTAAAATACAATTTAAACATCTATTATAAATTTTATCATCAATGACTGTAAAGGCTGCCACTTAGTTATTCATGTTTTTTTAACTGATTGAGTTACTACAAATAAGCATAGTAACTGGGACCAGGTGAAATACAGACACCTGTACATTAAAATTCTAAAGCAATTTCAGGAAGCATCTTCAGTCTTCACTCTCCCAAACACAAATCTGTGCAAATTCACGGTGCTCTTGGGACACCTCATCACTTCTAAGTTGAAACTTGGGATTTTTCTGAACAGCATACCTTCAAGTCACAGGCTGCATGCCCTTGACAGGCAAGCTAAGTTATGATACACCTTTTGGATCCCAGTTTGAACACAAAAGGAAGAGGGCCTATTCTCTAGCAAAGCTTCTTCCATGAAAAGAACTTGCTTGCCCCTTCCTGCAGCCTGGACCAACACAAGCAGTCCTCGTTTCAATCCTGTTCTGCAAGTGCAAATCTGACTTTTCAAATCTTGGTTGTCCCCAAAATTATTATTTCCAGTGTTCTACTGGAAATAATACTGAGCTTGAAATGCATTAAGCATTTGCAAAAGGAACATTAATAACACTAGGGAATTTTCTAAAACACAAGTAGAATAAATACATTTCAAATATGTAAAATACTGTTAAAGTAAAACTTATTTTTCCCTTCAGTGAAAAGGAGATGTGCTGTCATATTGCACATTCCTGTTGCTTCAGACAGGACAAATAAGGCTTTTCTTTCCTTTTTAAATGAATGCTTATCCTTTATAAAACCAAACACAGACAGCAGCATCCTAAGAAGCATTTGCTGTGAAGGTTGCTAGGGGGTGCTTGTTTTCACTTAGTCACAGAATTTCTCAGGACTAGTCTTGAGCACCAAATGCAGAGCACTTGGTTCAGCAGATAAAAGCCTGAATAAACAAGCTTTATTATAAACAATTCTGTCTATTAATGTTTCCTACCTTCACTGTGGTCCAGCTCTGGTCGGTAAGACAAGAAGATCCAACTTGTCCCAACTAGAATAGACACTACCAGATTCACCACAACCCATGAATGAACAATTTCTTGCTCTGTACCTGCAGTCCTGGGAAAAACACATCAACCCATCGGTCAGTTCACTGGTACACAGAGGTTACAGTAATAATTTCAACAGAGTATCATCAAAACAAGCTTGCTAAGCCAGATGCAAAAACAAAACTACTTGTACTGTCATGATGGTCTTGCATTGCAAAGGCCTGGCAAAGAGAATGATTACCAAAGACAGTGACTCAGCTAAGAAACCCCAATATCTCACAGAGAATGTCCACTTGTAGATTTCAACAGCAAATTCCTTTTCTTGGCCATGAGACAGAAAATAAAAATCAAAATGCATGGTTGAATTTTACTGTGGTGAAAGGCACCACAAAATACCATCAGTCCATCTTACTTTGAAGCACTTCCTCATGAGTCAGCAAGGCAAGTGAACAGCAAGTCAGTAAAGTCTGTTTGGAAGCCAGTGCAAGGACCTGTGTATAGATGCTGTGGGGTGGATGAGACGGGGCTTTAAGATGGTATGATTTAGCTTAGATGGTTAACTGACACTTTTCTTACTGTCATAACAGTAGCAGCTTGTGGTTTTGTTACTAGAATCTAGGCTTTTTAATAAACAACTCAACAAACATTTATAGAAGCCCTAAAAGAAAACCCCAAAACTAACTGCCCAAATTTTCACATAAATGCTTCTGTTCTCTGTTCTACTTCTGGTCCAGTTTAAAAACTCGTGCTACTAGAATTCAAGCCCATTATTATCTGCTTCAGAAAGTACCAGTTTTGGATGGGATTGCCTAGCAGGAAACAATGCTTTAGGTTTAAGTGTCAGCTGTGTCTGCTAAGCCCATCCATCCTGTGACAGACTATCTCCTTCAAAAACAGTGTTGACTCTCTACAGAACGTCAAGCCCTTGAACCCAAAAGAGTTACCTCAGTAGGGTCCCATTTCTCAAGCTAAAGAGATTCTTAGGGTTCGTGCCAGCTGACATTTCCAGCATCATTCCAACAGGCTCTTGTTTGAGGTATAATGGGTTTGCAGCCAACATGACCAAACCCATCCTAGGGTTTTTATTTTTCAGTGAAATTATCAAAAATTCAGGACAAGCTCAAACAAAGGCAGGTTTAGCAATGAAATAGTTCATCAGTACTTTCTTTTATATATATTGTATGACCTCTTCCATCCACCAGTTTGACTAAGGTTCCTAAGTCAGCTACGTTATAATTTACAGAAGTGGTTTCTTAAGTTTCCTACCAGATGCTGCCGTTTTCCGAAGGTGGTGTGTAGAGGTTGATTTTGTCACATGTCATCTGCTGGCTTAAGGATAAGATAAGAGCAGCAAAGTACACTGGAAGAAATGGAATCGGTAGTGTCAGACATAAACCTCCAAAATGCTATTACATCATGACATGGTACCAATCACTACATTTTCTTTCCTTTCACTCCACTGCCTCCAATGATAGTCTCCCTAAATTCATTCTCTCTTCTTCAACATTTCTGACCCATCAAAGTCTGGTTTCTGCACTTTTGCAATTCATCAGCTACATCAAAGGTGGCTTCTTGTTATTCTGTTTTTTTGTTAGATTCGTGTTCTGTATTCAGAAGTGGGAAAGAACTATCTCACTTAACAGCCTCACTAAATGCTTTAAAAAATATGTAACAAAATGTTCACGGCCTTTGCTATTTTCAACTACTAAGTCACTTCTTCTAAAGCAGGAAATAACCAGGAAGGGAGATTTCACTAAAAACAGTATGTAGGAGTTTTCCATTTACCATATTTTCTGGACATTTTCCTATCCACTTCAAAATACTTACAGAAAGAGGCTACTGCTGCTGGGTCTAGGGTCAAAAAGCCCCTCACTGCAACGGAGGCTTTTGCCAAATCAGTCCTGATAACAAAACCAAGAGTCATTAACACAGCCCAGTAAGACAATGATACTGTTCCTCTGGCAGTATTCTGTTGTTCTTTTACCTTTTGTAAGATACTTTTTCTGCCTCTCTTAGTGCCTTAATACACAACTATATCCCACACACATGGCAATGGCCCTCATTATGCCAAATCCAAGAAAGACTGAAACAAACAATTCCAGTTCCTTGAAGCAGCATCCAACCAACAGACAGAAATGAGTAAGAAAGGTCTAGATGCACAAGTACACCTTTTCTCTGTATAGCCAGCCATGTGTAAAATCATTCTTTAGGTATATCACATTAAATCATCAACAGCAGATCAAAATATGCCATAGAAAGGAAGATATTGTACCCAAATTACACACACCTTTCAAATACAAATATATTTTACCTGTCAAAGGCTGAGACTGTACTGACAGACAGCAGGAAATAGAACAAACTCTGAGCTGGGTATGCTATCGTCTTATACTGCTCAAGCAGATTAGAAACTGTGGAAAGCTCATGGCCTGCTAAAATGTAGATAACAACGATGTTCCACACAGCATACCCAGCTAGGAAGCCATGGGTAAAGAGTCCCATCACCCTGAAAGAAGGAAAGAACATTGTATCACTTAATATCTTGAATTAGCAAAGACCTATAGATAGATAAGAGAGGCCATCTGTTCAACCCTGCTTTTCAGAGCCTTTCAGAAATTGTTTTTAAATGCTTTTCCTGATCTAGTTTTAAACATTCTAAGCAACAAGACTCCTGCATCCTCCCTTAACAGACTGCACCAGCACTTAAAGAAAACAAAGATGTTTTGCCTTTGCTTCATTACCGCTTCAGGAATCAAATACTTTCCCTCACTGCCTGTAGCTTTCCAAAGGCACTGCCCTTTACACTTAAGTCTTAAACTTGTTCCCAAGGTAGTCTTTTCATTATCTTCCTTGCTAAGGAAAACCTTGAAAAGGAAACGCAGGCTCACTGATAAAAAACACAAGAGAACAAAATGGTTGTCATCTTCCCGTTCTGTATCACAACACAACCACATATTAAAAAAAATACATGATTTTTTTGCTATTGTGTGCAAACTTATTCCCCCAGTCCAATTTCGCTCCTCCCTCTTTTTCACCAACCAGGATTTTTCTTTGAGAACTGTCAGCATTTAGGTATTTTTATTCTGCTGATAAACCTGATGGGTCAGTCTTATTTTCTAATTTTTTTTTGGTAGGTCTCTAATATTTTGGTTATCAGATCAGTCTCTTTCAATTCAGATTTTGTCTGAATCTTTGCAATATGACTTTATTAGTTATTCTTTTTATAACTGTATTTTGCATGTGATATCCAAACTAGAAATACATATTCGTGACAACAAATACCCAAATCTAGAAGAGTGATAAGCTTTCTGTGTTTTGCACCCTGAACCACCATTTATTAGGAATATCCAAAAGAAATAAAGATACATCTGATGGCAGAGAAAAGACACTAAATTTCAGGGGGAAAAAAAAAAACAACCCAAAACTCCAACACTTATTTCTGCTTATTTACATCAGAACATTTGTCTTTCACCTAAAACTTCGGTGCACTGAGAGGGCAACATCTCTGGTAGTCCATGAAGCCTTGACATCCAGAAGTACATTGATATTTTCAGTCGTTTTAATCAATTCTGCACGGTCAGCTGCCTGAAAACGCCCTGAAAGGATGAGGAATTTCTGCATTAAAAAGCTGTCAGTATCACAAGTTCCAACAGAAAATTCCTCCTGCCCTTTGTCAGCATACACTGACACCAGGATGCCTCTGTCAGAGCGGTGCATCCTGGTGGTCAGGCTAAGACCTGAATGTGCAAAGAACGTGCACAGCACTTTGGCAAATTACTGAGCGTTCCCTGGTACAAAAATAAAAACCCCCAAATCCAAAAACAATAGAAAAACCCAAACACCCATCCAAAAACTCTGACTGGAAAGGCATTTTATAAATAATAATTTCTTCTCAAAGTACTGTGATAGTATTAAGTCAAATAAGCTCAGCTGGGTACTTTGGAACAGCCTTTTGCACACACCATGGAATTCAAACATTCAACCAAATATGCCAGCACAGCAACACCAGCGTTCAGTGTTAACAAACTATCATGTACATTTATTTCCAAATAATTTTTGTTTTGGAAAACTTTTTTTTTTTTAAATTCTTCCCAATGCCACAGTATTTGGATTTTAAATACAACAGTGCTTCCTCTAATTGCGAGGATGTCCTTAAGTTACTTGAATCACAAGATGAACTTACGATTTTTCTCCACGAACACTTTGCTAACGGGCTGGCTGATTCCAGTGGGAGCAGCAAACACAGGCTGCTGATCTGGGCTCTTCCTGTGCTCCTCTTCAATGATGTCTTCCTCCTCCACTTCCAGCTCATTGGGGCTCTGCGTTTCGGCCGGTCGAGGTTTCCTGTCGGCACAGAACACACAGGGAGGCAGAGAAAGAATAGGAAGCAACATGTCAAACCTAAAGGCTCCTGTGAACACTTAACCTGTCTAACTTGACTGGTAAGAACTGACCAGGCTACTGATCTATATATATTACCCCATTTACGATTTTAAGGACTAAAGTTCTCATGGAGTTAACTAACTAAAACCATTAAAGCTAATCCCCATGTCAAGAGATTAACAACTAGAACAAATTGGAACAATTGGAGAAAAAAATATGCTCTCATAAAATCAGGAAAAAGATAGTAAGAATGAAAGAAAGTGGTTACACATCCTAATTTTTTCACATATGTGACTGAACTATTAGGCTCATGAAAATGTGTTGAGAACTGTAAATGCATCCAGGTATGCACAGACCAAACAGGTGAAGAAAGTTAGATCTTAACCCTGGAAAGAACTGCCACAGGCTGAATGGTACATGGCCTTCAAGATTTCATGTTTTTGTAATATGACAATGTAAAATACTACTCAGCCACAGTCACTGTCAGAGCTGTCTCAAATTATGAACTACACTAGTTTTGTCTCACTTTGTTCTTTTTCTCTGTTTGCGGACCACTGTTTCTTCAGCTTCGGGGACATCCATGCCATTTCCATTCTGAAATAGGGATGCAACATTTTGCTGGGTAAAGGAGGTCTCAGAATCTGAAGATTAAAAAAAAACAAAAAACAAAAAGCCACAACATGAAAGTTTCAGAGCTTTCATAAAAATGGAAATACACCCACTTAACTATATAAATAATTGTTATTATATAAACAGAGTGGCAAAAAAATTTATGATCTTCTGAGCTTTGAATGATGTAAAGCATCTATTTTACCACCTCCAAAACTGTACTGCCGTTATTTTCATGGAGGTTTGTACCCTATGGAATCTGGCATCAGAAACTGAAACTCTAAGCTGCCAATTACTCAGAGATTACCCTCAGGTGTTTTAAGTGCAAAAGCACATAAATGTTCTAAGCCAATCCCATTTCTGCGTTACCAGGTTTTATTCAGTGCTCTTTGCAATCAACACCTGCTTCACATACCAGCAGGTACTTTCTTCTTCTTGCGTTTCCTCTGTGGAGCCACGTCCTGGTGTTCTGGCGTGAGGGGCTCGCTGCTCTCTGACTGCCTCCGCACCGCGGCTTGGACGATGCCATCTGCAAACCACAGCAAAACATCCGGCAACCTTAACTCAGAGCCAGTGAGAAACAGGCAAGGAAAAGCTGCTGTTTACTACGCTGTGCAAATGTCTGTGTTTGCCCAGCTGAGCAACAACTGAGATGAAAATGCACTGGCTAGGAAATGAAAGAGTTGGGAATCAAATGCCATAAGAAGGAACATAAAAGGGTGATGGCTAACAACCCTCCTTTCACCCTAACAGTTTCATGCTTAGGAGGAACTTAGGTATCCAAGAAGTAGCACAATTCCCATTTGGGCCTACTTCAAGAGGCCTGACTGAAAGAAATCCACCACAGGAGAGAACTACACCTCTGTATTTCTCCTTTCTAAGTGCAAAGATTATAATGCAAGGGACAAGCAAAAATTAGCAGTTTGTTACAAAGTGATCCACATAGATATGTGCTAAGGCAAAAGAGCATCAAATCAAAGGAAAATTTAAATGCTAAACATACATAAGAATAAAGGGAGAAGCAGAAAAACAACACTAAAGGATGTTTACTCCAATGTGAGAAAGGAACTATTATACTTTAAAGGAACTACATTTCCGTGAGAGGTTAACATGAATTCATCAAATATTCTAGCACCAGCAGCATCAATTTGCATGATCAGGAAAAGAAAGACATGACCAGAAGCAGAAAATTACTTTTCTGTTTTACATCACATCTGTTTTTTTATAGCTCTTTCTAAGACTGCCATTTTTATGATAAGAACTGAATTCGTCTTTGTTTCATCTTCAAGTACAGGTTTACCCACCTTTTATAAAGCTTTACTGTGCTAAAATGCAAAATTAACCAGCAAAGTAACAGCAAAAGTCAAGGTGTACTTCGCATCATCATTCAGCTCACTGAAAACAACAGTAAACAAAACTTAATCCTTGAGAAATCCTGCTAGCAACAGCTCTACTTGCTGCATTTAAAGGTCTTTCAGTGAGGCCTCATCGTACACTTTTAAGCAAATAAAAGCAGTTTACCCATCAAACTTTTATATGGAGCCAAGTCAACTGGTTACAGAAATCCACTAGATTCTGTTAACATCTTCTGCTTTATCAAAATAGATCAGACTCATAACCTTGCTTAAAACAGTATGTTTGTTCTGCAGATTTGCTTCTTGTAAAAATGCAAAGCTCTGATGCTTAGTCATCTTTTAAACTCTTAACTAACTCTTCAATGATAATGGAAGGATTAACTTGTGACTTTATTTGGCACACGACTGAAATTGAGCCAAATTGTTAAATGAGTTTTATCTTAGTTCATGCAAAAATTCAAGCTCTTAACACATTAAATACAAGCATCTTACAGCTGGAAATGACTATTTAATGAAGCATGCAAAAAAATTATATAGAAAAAATAGTAGGGATGAATGAACACTTTATAGCGTTGGTAAGACCTTACCTAATGGAGTCTTTCCTTTGGGTTTCCTTTTTTTGGGACGACTGAGTGGAATTTCATCTGCATTACATAAAACAGAAGTATGGGTGCACAGCAAGGAGAAAACTCCATTTTCTTTTTTTAACAGCCATTCTATTGCAAGTTAAGAAATAGATTCTTTTTTACAAATTATGACATCCTTCACCTTTTACAGGTAAGATGATAATTCAGCAGTTCCCACAAGGAAGAGGAGTAGAGAAGATGGTAGGAAAAGAGGATTAAAAAATATGTCTTATGTGTGGCAGAGACTAAATACACACATACACCTGTGTTAAGTGAAAAAGTCAAATACTCTCAATAATGCTCTGAAAAATAAACTTATTGTTTAAAGCACAGTGGCAGCATTTCAGTTACCCTGATGAGAATAGCAAACAATAAAGAGAATAAAGAAAATGACAGTTCTAGCAATGGCAGCACAGGTATCCGTGCAGTTTAAACAATCAGCCCGCATTTAGGAAAAGTATAAGGCTCTATCTTTAAAGCGAGAATGTGTGGCACCAAAAGGAACTACCAATGTTTAGAATTCTCTTTAATAACTCACCTTGGCTTCCACTTCACATTTAAGGAGAAAAGGTGTTGGCATGCAGTGTAAAAGGAACAAAGACGAGAAAAAAGTTAATTTTGAATGAATTAGAATTCACCACAGTGAAATTCACAATGCTGCTTCTGTGATTCCTTCCTTATCCTTGCTTCTCTTTCCGGGCAGTTGTTACAACAGGGTTAAGGGTACAAAGCAATCATCAAGACTCAACACTTTGTTGGTGACTAGGCACAGCTTCTTGATTGGCTGGCTGGGGATCAGATTAAAACCTTTAATCACCTGGCTAATTAAAACTTGTCTTACTGCCTGATATATAACAAACCAACAAAAGTTATAAAACAGTTGAGCCCATACATGATTAAAAGGACACTATATGCCATCAACCATAAACACCACATTTACTTTCAGGTACTTTGAAAGAATTCTAAAGTATTGTGTTATAACAACTCTACTTCCACACTGAAAAAAAGCCCAATTTTTTACCTGTGCTACATCAAACTAGTAGACACCTATATATTCAAGAATATCTAGTCGTCAGAAATTCCTCTTCTGAAGGATTTGTGATTCAAATAAACAAAAGAACATGTAACAAAACAAAGAGGGAAGTGAGAAGAGCTTGAAAAGGACATCACTTCAACTACAGTACATTAAAACTGTAATATTTGCCTGAAGCTTTTTAAATCTCTCAGTATTAAAACTGAAGTGATATAGTAAAATTTCTCAGCTTCTGTAAAGCTTTAAAATGCTTTGCATTCCTTGCCAAGTGTTTTGGGACAAAAATTAGAAAAAGAAGCAATTATTTTTAAAACTGTTATGACACTCATATGTTTAATTAACTTATTTCTCTTAATGTCATTACTTTTAAAATCACTGCAGTGCAGCACCACGACCAGTTCCACAGAATGCACTGATTTTACCTTGGCACTGGAGGGAGGGCACGAGGCGGGCACTGAAAGACAAGAGAGAGACAAAAGTCAACCTCTGTCAGCATAAAACTACCTCTCAGAAAACAGCTGTTTCCAGGCGAGGTCGGAACACACCAGGTATGTTTTGCTTTGTATGCCCCCTAAATGGCTAGACATTCCTGGTGGAGATGTTACATAAAAGCAATAACTAAAAGATGCTGCAATAATATGTCTTTACCAGAGTTCTGATGGGCACTGCATTAGGGACGGGTACCTAACATCTGTGTGTGAGGCACAGCTTGCATTTCAACTTCATTTGGATAATTTTCACTTTTCATGTAAGGTACCACCTTCATGAGAAAGCTTATCAGTCATCCTGTTTAAATATCGGAATACTGCAATAATTTATGCATTCAATACACTTGTACAGTATACAGCGTGAGCTCACAGCATACTTTCTATTAATGAACATGTAAATTCAGAACGATAGTAAAGTCAATTAAAGGAAATAAGCTCAGTTATGAAAATACATTTAAATGTTATAAAATGTTATTTTTCATTTTTACTCACTTTCATATTTACCAGCAGGTCAAACACGACTAAAATCTAAAAATATCTCCTGATAATAATCTGAAACTGAGCTTGTACCTTTCTCTCATCTGGAAAAAGGCAGTTAACTTTTAGATATTGTATTATACAATTATACTGAAAGAGTATACGCAAATAAGTCTTTCTCATGCTCAAAAAATGCAGTTGATACCAGAAATAAAAAGGGCTGTAAGACTGGTAAGACTCAAGGATCCACAAACTTACCACTTGCTTCTTTCCCATATCATTTGAAGCTGCTCCCTGAAAGAGGCACTGTGAACTGGTCTATGCTCCCTAACGCTGCTCACATTGAACCTCAGCTAATTCTGAACTAAAAATAAACTTCAGGCAGCCAGGATTAGCTGGACATGAACCTTCCTGCCCCAGGGTTAGGACCCAGCACTACTCCCGTTTGAAACAAGGGCAGTTTGTTCCGTGGCACCGGACGTTACTTGCACTAAAAAGCTCGTAACTCCACTTGATGGTACAGGTTCCTGTAAGCAAATTTGACTTTGGTTTGGTTAATCAAAGTAAAGGAGACACCTCGTGCAAGGAAGGGTTTGTGGGATTAGACCTCAGATCTCTCACTTGGATTTTGGCCACGTGAAGACTGACAGCAAGTGCCATTTATACAGGTAAGGAACTGCACACCCTAAGCAGCCCCCAGGACTGGCCACAGCATACAGCTGTATGAAAAAAATACTGGTAAAGGTCAGAGCTCATTACTTTTATTGTTCACTATATTCTTGTGGCAGGAAATACTAAATGTTTAGGATACTTGATATTTTAAAAAACTAAGAGCTACAAAACCCATAAAAACAAACCAACCAACCAAAACCACAAACCAGCATTCTCTACCTGTGCCGTAGTATGTCTGTATTCTGTAGGACCTACTTTATTGCCTTCTACAAAACAACTGAAAAGTGAATTGATTTCTGTCATCATTTATTCCTTGCAACAAAGGCAAGCAGGCAGTGGTGAATACTCATCTGTCCCATCTGTATGACAGTCCCCAGCTCTGCCATACAGATACCAGCTTTGGTCTGTTTGCTGTTTCGCTCACTCCAAGCTCCATAGAAAGGGTGAGTTTGGGGACAGGTTTCCAGAGGCATTTTGTTACCGACAAAAGAGCTGCTGAATGCTCTAAGGTAGCCATGGTGCCCCTAAAGGCAAGAGACTCTCTCAAAGCAGCAGCCGCTGCCTCATTCAAACCCTGTGTTTGCACACGTGAGCCACGCCACAAGACGGTGGGACACACCTGGAAACTCAGGGCGGGAAAACCGAGCTACCCAACCCCGCTGGTGTCCATTCCAGGATACGGGGCAGAAAAGGTTTAAAAGACCTCAGAGTTTAAAAACACTGAACCAGCCCTTACAGATTAAATGCTCTGCAGATTATCTTTTGAGAGATTTATATAAAACACGAAAACAATGAGGAAATGCTTGCTTGCCACTCCAGCAGAGGTGAGCAGAAACGTGCCACGCTGCATCGGGAGATATCCCCCTCCGGCTCCCGAGCGGAGCGGGGATGCAGGACGGCGCTTCCTCTCAGTCTCTCGGCAGCAGCTGCTGCTGCCACCGAGGGCTCCGCCACATCCCTTCAGCAACAGCGCCCGGCGGGACAAGCTCCCGCCTCCCGGGATCCGCAGCGGGGCGTCCCGGGCCGCAGCCCCGTTCGCCGCCGACCCTCCCGCCCCGGCCCCGCCGCGCCCTCACCCCGCCGGGGCCCGCCCGCCGCTCCGCCATGGGCCGCGCCCGCCCGAACCGGCTCCGGCTCCGGCTTCGGCTCCGGCTTCGGCTCCGGCTGCGGGGGAGGAGCCGCCGCTCCTTCCGCCCCGCGCCGCGGCTGCGCCCCCCCAGCGGCGGGGAGGGCTCGGCCCCGCTCACATCGGCTGCGCCGCCTCCCCCTCGGCTAGCCCAGCTCACGGGAACGGCCGGCCTTCTCGTCCTTCGGGATGCGGGCGAGCAAAACCAAACGCTCGAAAATGGAAACACGTGTCTGGCCAACTTCAGCTTGTAGCCTGGGTCACAAACAAAAAGGTAGAAAATAACACATGGAAAAAAGGCAAACAGAAAGAGTCGACAAATGCCAGACTAGGCAGAAGTGGGGACCAGCATGGACCAGAAGCACAGATCTGGCTCTTATCTCGCCCTCCAGTGTACTTACCCTGCATCAGTGACATGTTGGCATTTCAGTCTCTCCAGTTTTACCTCTAAACAAGGAATACAACCCCTGGCTCTAGAACAAGCAGGCATGGTGGCAGCTGTAATATTTGACTTTAAATAACCTCCCTCTAGACTGCTTTACTTGCATTTGTTGATTTTCCTCCAAGGTGAGGTAGGCCAATAGAATAGTAATCTATGTTCCTCAGGGAACATGACAGCTGTCGCGGGAGGTGAAGAGAGTGAGGAGCTTACTTGCCACAAGCACCCTTTGATGAGCAGAGTGTGCTACCATAGAGCAAACCAGTATGAGAAAGGGTTTCTGACTTCCCCTCTTTGCTAAGTCCAGGTTCTGTCAGTTTGTACTCACTGGAGTTGATGAAACAAAACAAAAGACATATTACATGTATTATGAAGGTAACTGTGGTTTCTGGAGAACTTAATGTTATGCCAACACCACTCCTACCTTAAAAGGTAAAAAGGACTAGCAGTAAACCACTACCTTCATAAATAACACTCTCTGCTCACAGACAGTAAGCTAAAAGAGCACACTCTGGACTGAATACTGACTGAATATTGTTTGTGAGAGTAAGGGCTTCCAGAATGTACAGGTATCACAGTACCTGATAAAAAGAAAGGACTTTTCTGAACCTATGTATAAGCAAATTACACAAATACATCCAACAAAATAGATTTTTCTTTATTCTTGTAATTGAGTGCTCACAGTATTTCCTTTTTTTTTCTTTTGTACAAAAGTGGATGCAACTTTAACATAAAAAGCTCAAGAGCTACACAGAATGTAGTATGATTATATCTCCTGTAGCAGCTTCTTTCCTAATCCTCTTCCAAATCCCTTACATACAAAGATAAATTCTTGCAATCCTGACATTAGGATTATTCTTGAAGTAAAACATAAGCTGTAATCTTTCTGAAGCTGCCTCCTGCTCAGAATTAGGGCTGAGTGTCTGAGCATATCCATGTTGCAGGGACCCACTGGGGCTCATCCTGTGCACGATGTACTGCAGACAGCAGCTGTGCAGATGCGTCTTGTAAATTGTCATTCACAATCACTTGATCAAAGAACTGACCGAACTGAGCTTCCATTTTCTTAGCCGATTCTTCCATCTCCTGTAAATCTTCTTCCTGTGAGACAGAGTAAGTCTATAAAACTTAAAAAAATTGCATAGAGAAACATACCTGCACAGCACCTCCAAAGCTCTTGGGTCCCATAAACAAGAGGTGAATAGATCAGTCTACTTTATTTCAGCAGAGAATGTCAGGGACTGGAAGGCAAATCCACTAACACTTGTGTTCTGATCCAGATTTTATTTTATTTCTCCAGTGTTTATGTTTCTTTCTGTCATAGCCATTATGATTCATTTCCATATAGTTATGGACTGTGGTCTTCAAAATGTTAAGATGTTAAACTTGACTATGATTTGCATGGGAGCAATTGTGGCAAAGCACTATATCATTCTAAATATGCATTTCCTACAAGCCAGATTTGTGTTTTATCTATAGAACTAAGTATAGAATTGATACGGATACTGCCATTAAGCATATGTGAAATAATAATACATTCTTATAAATATGTGGAAAAATAGTTTACTGAACTATATATGAATGAAGTGCATTCCAGGTATTTCAGTGCAAAGAGTAAATGTATGTGTTGACTCAAATACTGACACAAGGCAGTTAATTAAAACAAAAATACGCAAAATACCTTCTCCTTTAAAGACATTTTGAAGCAAAATGCCTCAGCCCCCTAGATACAAATTACAACCCTTATGCTTCAAAGCAAATCTGGAGGGGGAAAAAGATCCTAACCAAATGAGACAAGAATAATTAGATTTGATCCTAAAGACACAATAATCTTTTTTTAAGAGTTAACACTGTAGGACAGTAGAATGCATTATGTTCTAAACACAGAGTCTCAGATTAATAAACTCAGTTCTCTTTTATTCCCAAATCTCACCTTGAACTTCATGTTCACGTAATAGTCCGTAATGATCCTGGCGTTTTTACGGGTCTGCCTCATGCAGCTTATGCTGGGTGGCTTGATGAATATAATGTAGGGCTTTAACTCATGAGTCCGGGCTAATTGTATG